GTTACCGACCCTAGAGTTCACTTACAATAACGCATCACATGCGGCCACAGGGAAAACTCCTTTCTTCCTGTGTTACGGACGGGTTCCACTTACACCACAGAAGCCAACCACACCGGCACACGTCCAAGCCGCACATGACTTCGTCACCACCATGCAGCAGCTATGGGAAAAGACTCGGCGACGACTCACCACGATGCAGACCTCCCAGAAGCAGTATGCCGATCGTCAGCGACGTGATCACTCAGTAGCAGTCGGAGATCAGGTGCTTCTTGACACGCGCAACTTGAACCTGTCTCACCTCCCACCCAAACTCCGGCCTCGCTTCTGTGGTCCTTTTCTCGTAGAGGCACAGGTGACACCAGTTACATTCCACTTGCGCTTACCTACTACTTGGAAGCTTCACAATGCTTTCCATGTGAAGCTACTGAAACCCTACAAGGACCCCAACCAACAGTTCCAGGGACGGCAGCTACCCGCCACCTCCGCCTGTTCTTGTGCAGGATGAACCCGAGTACGAGATCGAGTGCGTTCTCTCTCATCGGCGCCGCGGCGGCAAGACCCTCGAGTTCCTGATACGCTGGAAGGGATACGACCCCACTGAGGACAGTTGGGTTGCAGAAGCTGATATGGGCAACGCACGCCGTGCTCTCAAGGACTATCTTGTCAAGCAGGGTGTTTCTCACGCCACCCAGCTTTGAGGGGGGGACGTGTGAGAGTACGACGGCTTATTGCCAGCTATATTTGCTTGCCTTTACTTTATCATGCTATTTCTAGCATAGGATAATCATATGCATGCATGAATTGCTTGATTTCCTAGGCTAGGTGCTTTCCTATATTTTATTATAGTTATAGCATCGAGCTAGGTTACGTGCACCGAATTCTGGCCTTTTCGGTTGCCACCGAATTGCCTTCTACCGAATTCGGTAAGGATCTGTTCGGGACGCTACGCGACCCGCGGAACCTTCGCGTAACACCTGGTTACGGGGCCTTGTGTCGAGCCTATATATAGCCTCGTGTTGTACCCAGGTGATCATTCAATTCGACTCAATTCTCATTCTCTTTTCTGAGCTCGATCCTAGATCCTCACACCATGGATAAGGAGTTCAAGGCACAGGAAGAACGCAACACCTGGAAGGTCGTACCTATCAAAGTGGCACAGGTTAAGACCATTCTCACCGGAAAATGGTTTTTTCCGCGTGAAAACAAAGGCAGATGGAACCATCGACAAGTTTAAAGCGCGGACGAGACTTAACCGAGACGTTCGCACCGGTCAGCCGGCACACCTCACTGCGGATTCTCCTCACGATAGCCGCCATGAAGCGGAAGAAGCTCCGACAAATCGACGTCGATGCTGAGATTTTCGTCAAGCAACTGCACGGCTTCCAACGCAGGCCCCAACCAAGTCTGTCAGCTGCTAAAGTCTCTGTACGGCATCAAGCAAGCTCCGAGGTTGTGGCAGCAGTACCTACACATCCGACTAATCCGGATCGGATTCCGCCAACTACCGCACGACCAGGGTATGTACCGACTCACTAAAGGCAGCGACTACATTCTGCTCATCGTCTATGTGGACGATCTGCTCTACATCGGCTTAACCGACAGCATCACAACCTGGTTCGAAGGGGAGCTGCAGCAGGATCTCACACTCACCGTCTCCTCTACCATGACGCAATACCTCGGGCTCAACATACAAGAAGAGGAGAACGCGATCTACCTCAGCGCCGCGAAATACGCTAACACCATCGTCAAGCGCTTCGGACTAACCCCGCCGATATCTCCACGCCATATCGCTACACCGCCGGAAATCACAAGGAAACCTCTGCTCCGCTCAAGCCCGCCGGCATACGCGACTACCAGCGAAAGCTGGGATGCCTCCTCTTCGCAGCCGTCACCTGCCGACCGGGTCTATCGTACTCACCAAGCCAACTCACCACCTACCTCAAGAAACCTGAAGTAGAGCACATGGCGGAGCTCGACCGCGCACTCCACTACCTCGTCAGCACCCCAACAATCGGCCTAACCTACCACAAGACCGGAACCATGACGCCCAAGCTAATCGGCTACGTCGATGCTGATCATGCTGGCGATTCTGACAACAGGCGCTCACAGCACCGGCTACATCTACCGACTCGAGCCTATCGGACCTATCTCGTGGCAGTTGAACAAACATGAACTAATCGCTCTCTCCTCAGCTGAAGCAGAATATATCGCACTCTGCTCAGCCACCAAAGAAGGATTGTACCTTCGCGAACTGCTGGAAGAAGCGAAGCTAGCCCAGTTACCCAGCTTCTCCCTGTTCTGCGACAACCAGTCAGCAATTCGCATAGCGAACAATAACGGATTCGTGAACAGGACGAAGCACATCGCCCTGCGATACTTCTTCGTGAAAGACGAGATCGAGAAGGGGAGACTCGAGCTGTCCTACTGCCCCACGTCTGAGATGGCAGCCGGTTACTTGACCAAGAAGCTCGGAAAGCAGAAGTTCAAGTACTGCATGCTGCTGACCGGACAAGGCCACGTCACCAACAACGACACTCCAGAAGCGAAGGGGAGTGTTGGAAGCAAGTAACTTAAACGCTCCTGATGGGTCGGAACATCGAACTGAAAACGAAGCGAACTACAACGAAGCAACGGTGAGTCAACCAAAGAGGTTGACAGAACGTAACTGCTAGAGGTTACGCGAAGGTCAAAGGTCAAGCGACAAATACAGCACGACAGCAAGGACAAACAACTGACTCGTTATTGAGCAGTTGCCTGAGTCGTCACTGTATCGAACCGCAACAGCAACAGTAAAGCGGTTATTGCATCCCTTCATATTCCTTGTAATCCTATGAAAGCTTGTATTACTTTTCTATAATCAATCTATTTTGCCCTCACATACTAGCGCAAGGTGGTTCAACATTTGTCATTAAACGTTTCCGCAGTTACAATATTCCTACGGAGAGTTCTAGCCTTGAAAGATCCTAAGGGCTTTTCCTCAGCCCAACATTTTTTACTGGCCTTGTGACCCCTTCTTCTCCCCCACTTTGCCTATGGGGGTGTGTCAAACTATATTTGTGCTAGCTCTGTGTAGGCTATAGTGGGGTAGCCCATATGGGATACAACCCAATGTTAGGGTTAGTACTTGTACCCACGATTCATTCAATGCAGTCATTCCTGCTCATTAGTCTGTGACAGTATGCAGCTGTGGGTGGTAGTAGGTGGCTGTTGACGGCTCTAGTGCGTTGCCGCTAGCTTCTGCTGCTGCTGCTGCTGCTGGTTGCACTGGTATGCAGTGGCTACGGAGGCCGCGCGCTAGCTGCTGCTATGCGTCGGGAGTTGGTGCTGGCGCGCGAGGTGAGGCAGTAGTAGGGGCAGCGTAAGTAGGGGCAACGGCCACTGCAGTTGCTAGCGCGCTGGCGGAAACCTAACTTGCTATTGGCGTATTACAGCGTGCTGCTGCAGCTGCGTGCGCGCTAGCGGTGGCCTAACTTAGATACTGGCGCATCACAACGGCTGCGCGCATAGCTGGCGTATGTGCAAACTAGCCGCTGGCAGCGACCTAAGGCAGCGATGCATTAGGCAGTAGTAGCGCGACGAGCGAACGCAAACTTGACAGATGGCAGGAGCGCGACAAACGGCACGGCGATGGCTATGCGAGGCTCGAATCAAGGGGCCGCAGAGGACGTGCGGGGCGCACATCGAGGGCCCTACGGGACGCGAAAGGGGGCCTTCGAGGCGCGAAAAGGAGGGGGCCTTCGGGGCGCGAATCAAGGGGCCTTCGAGGGTCGTCTACAGGGCGACAAGGGGACCCCTGGGGGTCGTAAAAGGGGCAAACCGGGGGACCCACTGGGGTAATTTGAGAGGCTGCCGACATGCGCGCTAAGGACAGTAAGGCGGACCGAGCGGTGGGTTAGGTTCCTAAATACTAACTAGCGATGTTAATAGCTCAAAGTAGCACTTAGCGAAATGATTATAATGGTTGAAAAAGGGTGCAAGTAAGAATGTCGAGATAAATACTATACACTATACTATGTACCTCACGGTGGCCTAACTTGTCTAGCATATACGTAAATATGATTTGACACTCGCGCTGCGGTGCGGAAAATGTCGAGGCGCAGGGCCGGCCGCGTGTTACCATCCGAGCCGGGTGGTTTGGGTGCGATGGCGGGCAATGTAGATGCGAATGTCGCGAGGTGGGTAACAGACTACTGTTGTGTGTTTAGTGGAGGGATTAGACTTGTACGCGGTAGGAAGTGTGACGCGAAGGAAGGAATGTTCCCATACCGAAATTAGGGAGAGCTCTTATGTATCCCAAGTCCCAGGAGGGACAGCCTCGGCGGCGCTTTTCTGGAGGAAAGCAGCTCCGGCGCCTACACGTGGAGACGGGATCGTGACTAGCTGGCTCGTTGGCAGTCGTTTCCCCCACCCTTGGCCCAACATCGAGGCTGCAGGCGTCCACGTCGGACTGGCATCTTTGAGCTTCCCCGACAAACAATCTGCTGCGGAAAGATCTGGGACGGGAGGGAGTTCTGCGGGTGTGATGCTGCTGTACAAGACACCTTTCCCTTCCCAACCCAATGCTTGAGGGTGTGGGGGGAAGGGTGCGGGTGTAGCACCGAGGTGCGGAGGAAACCCGCCCATGCTGCCAACCTCGAGCGCGTTCCGCCAGAGGTGGTGCGCCCTTGGGCGCGCAGGCAGCGGCGCTGCAGTTTGGGTTGAGAGGCCAATTCCAGTCGAAGCCCCTGTCACGAATAACTGGGGGAATTCCCCCTCCCATCCAACCCCCCATTCACCTCCGTAAAGCCCTCTCGATTCCACGCCAGGTCTGTAATAACTGTTCTGTCCTCGCCTCGGGCTTTTCACTTTCCATATCCCCTCATCACTCTTTCATGCGGAGGCAAGCCCATCCGCCTGAATAGACGTACTCACATCCGTACCGTACCTTCCCTTCATCCAACCTTGGCTTGTCGCGCCATAACTTCCATCGAGCTGTCAGGTGTACTGTACCGCGGCGCGCAATGGCCAGTCTAAACGCTGTTCTGTTGCCCAAGGCGGCAACCGCCTCCGCATCAATCTCGGCGCTCACTCCGCGGGCCCTCGGCAGCAAGTCGCACATTGCACAGTCGCTGCCCGTTAGGTCTCCCGCGTCTCGCGCTCCATCGCACGCGCAACTCGCGCCGCGATGCGTGCAGGCGGCCGAACCGCCGCTAACGGTGCCTAAAGCGTCGTCGAGCCCGGCGGAGCCGTGGTCGCCGGGCAGCTGGCAGACGCGCAAGGCGTGGGCAGCAGCCCGAGTACCCCGACAAGGCGGCGCTCGCCGCCGCGCTCGAGGAGCTCGAGCGGTGCCCGCCGCTGGTGTTCGCGGGCGAGGCGCGCGCGCTGGAGGAGAAGCTGGGGGAGGCGGCTCTGGGGAAGGCGTTCCTGCTGCAGGTGAGGACGTGACTGGCGACCGCGAGTCGGCGAGCTTGAGCTTGAGCAGGGATTTACTGTCAAAGGCCGCGTCTTTTCTTTTGGTCAGCACCCTCGATCCGTCACGTTCTTTTGAAAGTGTCAATCAGCCAAAGGTGTCATATTTCCTTCCTTTTTGGATCTCCGTCGTTGTCCCATCGCTTCCCGCTTCCTCTGTTTCCCTCTTGTGACTGCTCGCCTTACCTCGACTCCGCCACTTACCCCTCCCCCTCTTCATTGACTCCCCTCCCCGTTCCTCCGGCAGGGCGGCGACTGCGCGGAGAGCTTCAAGGAGTTCCGCGCGGACAACATCCGCGACACCTTCCGCGTGCTGCTGCAGATGGCCGTCGTCCTCACCTTCGGCGGCCAGATGCCCGTCATCAAGGTGAGCTCACGTCATCAAGGTGAGCTGACGTCACCGAGGTGAGCTGACGTCATCAAGCTGCGATTCCGTCATCTTTTACGGCGCGCGCAGATGTCGTTGTCAAGGTGAGATGCCGTCGTAAAGTCATCAAGGTCAGGCTCGCGCAGATAACGGCCAGCAGTGTCAGACGCGCGTAGAGGACGGTCGTTTGTGCAGAGACGGAAGTTGGCAAGAAAAGCGCGTGGATGTTCGTTGTCAGGGAATGATGCGGAGAAGCAAAAGACAAAGGCGTGCGAGGTGAATCGAAAATATGAAGAGAACCCAACGTTGTCTGCAGCCCTTCGTTTGTCCCTAGTCACTCTCCGTTGGTGGTTCGGCGCTCCCGCTTCGGTTATCTCACGTTCACGCGGTCGTCGCGTTTTCGTGCCGTCACGTGGGCAGCACCGCGGACATCGCAGCGGCCTTCTCGTGACTCATCATACCTCTAGTACACTGCATGGGCTTATAGTTGATTTGAAGTTGTACCTTTTTCCCAATCTGTCGCTGCCCCACCTTCCTCGCTGTCCCCTTTCTAATCCAGAATCTCTTTCCGTCCCCTCCTCCCCGTCCCCTCCCCCTTCCCCCTTCCTCATTCCCCCTTCCCCCTTCCCCCCACCTCCCCCCGCGCCATTTCCGAGGGCAGGTTGGGCGCATGGCGGGGCAGTTCGCCAAGCCGCGTTCCGACCCCCTGGAGACGCGCGGCGACGTGAGCCTGCCGTCGTACCGCGGCGACAACATCAACGGCGACGCTTTCACACCCGAGTCGCGCGTGCCCGACCCGCAGCGGCTGGTGAAGGCGTACAGCCAGGCGGCGGCGACGCTGAACCTGCTGCGCGCGTTCGCGACGGGCGGGTACGCGGCGATGGAGCGCGTGAGCAAGTGGGAGCTCGCCTTCATGGAGAACCAGGAGCAGGCCTCAAGGTGAGTTGTTGGAGCTTGCGATTGGGCAAGTCCTTGGCGCCTTGCGCTGGATAAAGCTGTTGCTTTGCACCGACCTTTTGGTGAGTCGGTATTCTCGAGCTGAGTCTGCGAGCAGGTCGATAGTAACGGCGCGCGGGAGTAACCCCTGAGTCAAGGTTTGTGTTATCGCGATGCGCATTCATGCCACCTTCGCCAGAGTTTCTCGAAACGGAGATGCCAGACGTCCAGGTGAGCCAGCAGGCATCCAGGGGGGCTGCTAGTAGCCTTATTTAACGGGGACACGAGGCCGTGCTGTGAGCTGAACGAACCACAAATAGACGACGCTGATTGAATTCGAGGTGGCGCTGGTCCTTGCTTGCTTGGGAGGGCGAGGCGCGTTGCAATGAATGCGAGTGAAGTCACCCTTTTTCCTTCCCAAAGGTCCGCAGATTGAACAGGTGGAGGAGGCGAAGGGCATCAGCCTGTCGCTCGCCACTTCACTTGGCAAAGCCGCGCCTTGCCCGTGTCATCGTTACGAACCACTTGGCTGCTCACCCGCACAGCGCGCCAGCGTGTGATACGGTGCGCGCCAGCGTGCGCGGGGCACAGCGCGCCAGCGTGCGTTTGAGTCGCTACAGCATGCGCTGAAGACGCACTGCACGACACAGCCTTGGCTCCACTGCCACTGCCATCATGTGCGCGTATCCACTTTCCATTCACATCCTTCTCAGAACGACTTTCTGAGTGATCCCCTAAGACCCCTTTCTCCCCCTCCCCCTACCATCCCTTCCTACCCCCCTTTCTCCCTTCCTCCGCTCCTCCTCCCCCATCCTCTCTCCCCTGGCCGCGCGCGCGCGTGGCAGGTACGAGGAGCTGGCGTCGCGCGTGGATGAGGCGCTGGGGTTCATGGCGGCGTGCGGGCTGACGGCGGAGCACCCCAGCATGCGCTCCACCGACTTCTTCACGTCGCACGAGTGCCTGCTGCTTCCCTACGAGCAGGCGCTCACCCGTATCGACTCCACCACCGGCCGCTGGTCAGCTCCCCTCCCCACCCAACCCATCCGCTCGCCACCCGCCGCCCGCCCCCTCCTCACTTAAAGCCCGCCCCTTCCTCACTTGCCGCCCGCCCCTTCCTCACTTGCCACCCGCCCCTTCCTCACTTGCCACGCGTGTCTTCTGCACTTGCCCCACGCCCGCGCCTCCTCACGCCCCCTGCTTGAACCCCTCAACCTCCTAGTATGAACGCATCGGATGTGGCGAGGATGCTACGCGTGGTCCCAGTGCAACTGCTGCCTCGTGAGAACAGTCAGTTGGATTGGCATTGGCGGAGCTCTGGTGCGCACTGGAGTGGCCCCAAGTCCAACTCCTGTCACTCCTCTCCCCTCCGTAGCCTGTCGCTCGTCGTTTGACCTCTTTGAAGTCAATCCCTTTCCCCCCTGCCACTGCCTAGGTGAACGTCATACTGGGTGGTTGAGAGAACTCGCCAGAGGCACCTCAACGCGTAGCTCCCATCACCCCTTACTGAACCGCTCTCCCTTGCTCGCCCCATTTCTCAATCGTCCCCACACTTCCCTGCCATCCCCCCTCGCCACCCTCACCCCACATCACACCAGGTACGACTGTTCGGCGCACTTCATCTGGGTGGGCGAGCGCACACGGCAGCTGGACGGCGCACACATTGAGTTCCTCCGCGGCGTCGCCAACCCCCTCGGCATCAAGGTGCGCACGCTCTGCCATGCCATGCACTCGGTTATCACATGGGTTCTCACTCTAACAGGCTCTCATGCCACACCCAGCAGCGGCAGCGGTAGTCCCATGCGAGAATGTGTTGGGGGTGGGAACTGGTTGGCAGTTGCAGTGGTGCGCCGTGCTGCCGTTAGTGGAGTGCCAGTACTGGTGGGGTGGACCCTGTACTCACCAGTGCCTCCAAAGTATCCCCTCTCCCCTATACACCCCCAACCACTTATTCTCTCGACCTGCGTCTTATCCTGGCTGCATCTCCCTCTGCGCCCACGGCACAGGTGAGTGACAAGATGCCCCCGCAGGACCTGGTGGAGGTGTGCCACATCCTCAACCCCGACAACCGCCCCGGCCGCCTCACAGTGATCGTGCGCATGGGCGCGGAGAAGCTGCGCGAGAAGCTGCCGGCGCTGGTGCAGGCGGTGGAGCGCGAGGGGCTGGTGGTGACGTGGGTGTCCGACCCCATGCACGGCAACACCATCAAGGCTCCCAACGGCTACAAGACCCGCGACTTCAACTCCATCCGGGTGAGCCACAGGGGGGGGTGGGGGTGTGTGTGTGTGTGCTTGAATGTGTGTGCATGATTGTGTGTAGGTGTGTGTGTATATGTGTGTGTGTGTGTGTGTGTGTGTGTGTGTGTGTGTGTGTGTGTGTGCGTGCGTGCGTGAGTGCGCATGCTCATCTGCAGTTGTCTCCATGCGTGTGAGCTTTTTTTTTGGAGGTGGATTGCCTCGGCCTGACACACGAGGCAAGGCACCACACAGCAATACGCTTGGATTACCCATGGCTCATGCTCTTTCGCTCATTCAACCTCCCTCCCGGACCATCACCTTCCCGTCCCCATCAGGCGGAGCTGAGGGCGTTCTTTGACGTGCATGAGGAGCTGGGAACACACCCAGGGGGAGTGCACCTGGAGATGACGGGGCAGAACGTGACGGAGTGTGTGGGCGGCACCAAGGAGGTGACCTTTGACGACCTGTCGTCGCGCTACCACACGCACTGCGACCCGCGCCTCAACGCCTCCCAGAGCCTCGAGCTCGCCTTCCTCATCGCTGACCGCCTCCGACGAGGCCGCGGCAAAGCCCTCGCTCTGGCTCCAGGAGTGATGAGGGGGAGTGGTTGCTCTAGGTGTACGCCTGGGGAGGGGAGGGGTGGGTGTGTAGGGTGACATAGATGTGGGTGCCATGAGATTTGCAAGGGGACTAGGGTCTCTGTAATGTTTTGATTAGTTGCTGGGAGACTGTATCTTGTACACTGAGGTTTGCTCGTTATTGCAAGGAATGAATGGATCATAGCACCCAACAAGACTCTGGAGATGTGCATGCCTTGTGCGCTGTGTCCTGAGGATGGTTCACCCTGTCATCCAGAGGAGTGTCTCAACCAGACAGGCTCCCACGGCAGTCGACGCCGTCAACCACCGTCGACCTGACCGGCGGATAGAAAAGGCCTAAAACCCTATTGCCATCCGAGGGAGGCATCAACCCTAAACACATGCCTCCCTGTGTTTAGGGTTGATGCCTCCCTAACCGGATAAAAGCCCGAATGGGTATTTCTTCTGCCCGTGGGCAGCAGGATCCGCCGGGCGGATTCGCTTGTCGGTTGAGCTATATCATGAGGTGTCCACCATTGGCAGCCAATTTGAAAATGGGCCATTAAACGCAGGCGATGCTACTTTTACACATGAAAACAGGTGCTTTGTCAGACATTGCATCGCAGCACCAAGCATTTTAGATCATTACACGACATACAACCAGGAAATGGTGATGACTCCAATGCTCCAGGCTACTCTCTAGGCACGAGAGGTGCCTGTCCGACTAGGCAGCCGATGCTCTTAGCCGACTCAGAATGAGAGGTGCCTGGGTGGGGCAGCCCTAGAAGCCGAGGAGCTGCTGGGACTTGCGCATGAGGAAGGGTAGTGTGGAGGGGTGGAACTTGCGCGCAAAGAGGAAGCAGTTGCGCGGCTCCCCCCCCAGCACACAATGCCCGTTGCCCACCGCCTGGTGGGGAGAGCCACTCACGGGTGGACGGGGAGCGGGAGAGGCGAGCTTTGAGTCGACTCATGGGCCGTTTGGGAAAGGGAGAATTACGTGCGGGCGAGGAGAAGGAGAGGCGCGGAGGGAGGAGCATGCAGTGTGTGGATGGGTGGCGGAGGACTCACCAGAGGAGGCTGCGGTGCAGAGGGGTTGGTTATCTGCGCACATGGGAGGGAAGGGGCCAATGGTGGGGGGTGGCGCATAACAGGAGGCGGGGGAGTGGAGAGGAGATGTGGGATGGGTGGGGAAGGAAGACGCATATTGTGTGGATCGAGTTGAGATGCATACATGGCGGGTGCACCCAACCATTGGTGCACTGCACGCACATGCATGATGCCAACAAGACATGCATGATGCCAACAAGACATGCATGATGCCAACAAGACATGCATGATGCCAACAAGACATGCATGATGCCAACAAAGGAACGGCACACACACACACGCACATACATACAAAGGCAACACACGCACACGCATACAAGGGAACGGCACGCACATGGGAGTAGTTGGACTTGAAGTCCTGCCAGAAAGAGCGATAGGTGATGAACTGCCTTGCCGTCTGCCGCAGGCGTGCCGGGAGAGAGGAGGACGCAGGGCAGTGGCGAGGGGAGATGGCACGTTGAGGGCATTGGAATTCCAGGGAGATGGCACGTTGAGGGCATTGGAATTCCAGGGAGATGGATCGATGACACAGCAGATGGCAAGCGACACATAGCATTTACTGCAGGCTGCGAGAGGGGGTGGACATGTAAGCAGCAGAGAGCACAGGAGGCGTGTCCGTGACAGGCGGCAGGCAGAGAGTGAGGGGACCTTGATGGTGGTGATGACTTGGTCTGTCATGTTGGCGCCCAGGTAGAGTGAGGGGTGCCAGTCGTTGGCACTCCAGTCCGTGAACGTGGTGGGGTAGCGCGATATGCCGCGAGGGTCTGTCATCTGCGCAGCAGCATGGCAGGGAAGGCCATGGCGTGGTGTGGGGGGGAGAATGCAGGGAGGAGCGTGGCAGGGGAGACATTGCAGGGGGAGGGGGGCCATGGTATGTGGGGCGTGGGTGAGATGGCATGAGGGGGTTGATGCATGAGCGGGTCGATGCATGCATGAAAGGGCCTCTTAGAAGAGCGATTTTCCCTTTCCAACTGCAAGAGTGCACATGGGTGGTGCGAGCGAATCAAGTGAGCGGGGGTGTGGAGCGTGACACCCACATGCAAGAAGGTTTGAATGTAATGCTCATCCGCACAGCACAGCTTGCCCCACTGCAACCGAAACTGCACACACGCACACAGGTGCAGGGGTCACACGGATGGGAGACGGAAAATGAGAGACGAGGTGTGCATGGGGCATGCGAGGGTCATGAAAGAGGGCTGGTCACGGGACAGCGACAGAAGATGCATGTGAGGGAGAGGTTGTCACGGCCCGCATGATCTAGAATAGCAGCGGAACGGAGGAGGCTGTAACACGCAGAGACGAAGGGGGGCAGGGAAAAAGGGGGTGGACTGACGGCGCAGCTGAGGTTGTGCTTGGCGTAGTGCAGCGTGTCCCCCACCACCGCCTCCGCATGCCGCCGCTGCAAGATGAACCACTGCCTCCATGCGGTGCCACGCGGTGTGATGTGGTGGGATGGGATGGGAGTTCATTCGGTGATGTGCATCCAACACGTGCCATGCATGCGCATTGATGCGAATGAAATCAGAGTGTGAAAGATATGCAAGGCAAGGCAATGACAGGAGCACACACAGTTCTTTAAATGTCAAAACTTTGGAGTCATGGCGCAGATATACACATAAGAACAGCAACAATATAATACATGAGTGTGCATTGCGCCTAACACGAAAACAGGTACACTAAGTACATGTAGAACAAGACAATAAGCATTCTATCAAACCTGGCTTGAGTGGCACCGCACCTGGTTGCCTGTGAGCCACACTGCACCGCACCTGGTTGCCTGTGAGCCGCACAGCACCGCACCTGGTTGCCTTTGAGGAACTGGTGGCGGCGGATGACGGGCATGAAGATATGCGGGATGTACCGCCCGAACGACGTGCTGTAGGGGTCCGCGTACCTGCCAGCGGTGGACAGGGAGTGGGGGAGCACACAGTGGTGAATCCGGATCAGGGAAGCAGCACAAGCGGTGAATCCGGATCAGGGAAGCAGCACAAGCGGTGAATCCGGATCAGGGAAGCAGCACAAGCGGTGAATCCGGATCAGGGAAGCAGCACAAGCGGTGAATCCGGATCAGGGAAGCAGCACAAGCGGTGAATCCGGATCAGGGAAGCAGCACAAGCGGGCGGCGTCATGCTTCATGATCAAGCCGTTGGGCAACCATGTGGCATCCTTGCAGGCACATCCGTACCATGTGACACTCACAGTGGAGTGGATGTGCACACATACACACAACATCGCCGAAAAGAGAAGGAAGAGCAGCAGGGGGTGGCAGAAGGGAAGAGGAGGAGGAGAGGGCTGGAGGGGCGGAGCGGCACTGACGCGTCAACGAAGCTGGCGGAGGAGGAGGCGATGTAGCTGTACACATAGTCAAACGGCCACAAGGGTATGCAGCTGTTGCCCGCCCAGCCAGGTATGAGGCGTGTGGGGGGAATGGGCACGCGGGAAGAGCAGGGGGGAAAGGGTATTAGAGAGGGCATGGAGAAAAGGGCCACTGAGGGATGCAGGTGATGCCCGCCACAGGGGAATGGGCTTGGGGGGAAATGGCATGCAGCGAACGGGGCAGGAGAGAAATGGCATGCAGCGAACAGGGCAGGAGAGAAATGGCATGCAGCGAACGGGGCAGGAGAGAAATGGGGGGCTTTGGGTGTAAGCCCAGGGAGGGTTCTGGCACAAGTGCGTGGGATATAAGGGAAACACGTTATGAATGAGAGTCGGGAATGGGGGATTGCGCCCCGGGATAGAGGCCACGGTTGAGCAACACAAGGGTGGTTGGTGTTGGAACGTGGCACGTGCATGGGTGGATGGCAGGAGTGTGAAGCAAGCACGCCAAGGGAGTGAGAGGTGCAGCAGGCATGCCTGGCATGAGAGGAAAGGCGCCCCTCACAGACACAAGCCTCTACTCATGCACCTCAGCAACACATCGTGCCTCCCCACCACAACTCACCCCTCACCCATTGCCCCTCCCTCGCCCCTGCCCCCTGGCCCGTCACGTGGGCACACCTCTCACCTCGCTCCCCACCTCTCACCCTCGCTCCCCACCTCTCACCTCGCTCCCCACCTCTCACCTCGCTCCCCACCTCTCACCTCGCTCCCCACCTCTCACCTCGCTCCCCACCTCTCACCTCGCTCCCACCTCTCACCTCGCTCCCCACCTCTCACCTCGCTCCCCACCTCTCACCTCGCTCCCACCTCTCACCTCGCTCCCCACCTCTCACCTCGCTCCCCACCTCTCACCTCGCTCCCCACCTCTCACCTCGCTCCCCACCTCTCACCTCGCTCCCCACCTCTCACCTCGCTCCCCACCTCTCACCTCGCTCCCCACCTCTCACCTCGCTCCCCACCTCTCACCTCGCTCCCCACCTCTCACCTCGCTCCCCACCTCTCACCTCGCTCCCCACCTCTCACCTCGCTCCCCACCTCTCACCTCGCTCCCCACCTCTCACCTCGCTCCCCACCTCTCACCTCGCTCCCCACCTCTCACCTCGCTCCCCACCTCTCACCTCGCTCCCCACCTCTCACCTCGCTCCCCACCTCTCACCTCGCTCCCCACCTCTCACCTCGCTCCCCACCTCTCACCTCGCTCCCCACCTCTCACCTCGCTCCCCACCTCTCACCTCGCTCCCCACCTCTCACCTCGCTCCCCACCTCTCACCTCGCTCCCCACCTCTCACCTCGCTCCCCACCTCTCACCTCGCTCCCCACCTCTCACCTCGCTCCCCACCTCTCACCTCGCTCCCCACCTCTCACCTCGCTCCCCACCTCTCACCTCGCTCCCCACCTCTCACCCTCGCTCCCCACCTCGCTCCCCACCTCTCACCTCGCTCCCCAACCTCTCACCTCGCTCCCCACCTCTCACCTCGCTCCCCCACCTCTCACCTCGCTCCCCACCTCTCACTGAGCAGCGCGAAGAAGCTGTTGGCCTCGTCCTGCACCGCCGCCTCCAGCAGGCGCCTCTCCGCATCCACCATCGACATCTCGCCCCACCGCACCTGCCACGCGTGCAACGCATGGACAGTCACACGTGGCATGAGTCTAGTTTCGAGGCACCTAAAAAAAAGCCTCCAGCAGGCACCTCTCCGCGTCCACCATTGACATCTTGCCCCACCGCACCTGGTGCACGTGAGAGCAGATGGCATGGCAGTGTTGCGAGCAGGAGAGTGCATGGGTTGCACACGGGAGCCACACAGGCAGAGGCACAAAGGCAGAGGCACACAGGCAGAGGAATACAGGCAGAGGCACGCAGAGGAGAGCAACGAAAGGCAGCTACTTGTTGATGTCCGATTGATCTGATACCACCCCCCATGCCCATCACCCCCCATGCCCATCACCCCCCATGCCCATCACCCCACATGCCCATCACCCCCCATGCCCATCACCCCCCATGCCCATCACCCCACATGCCCATCACCCCCCATGCCCATCACCCCACATGCCCATCACCCCCCATGCCCATCACCCCCCATGCCCATCACCCCACATGCCCATCACCCCACATGCCCATCACCCCCCATGCCCATCACCCCCCATGCCCATCACCCCACATGCCCATCACCCCCCATGCCCATCACCCCACATGCCCATCACCCCCCATGCCCATCACCCCCCATGCCCATCACCCCACATGCCCATCACCCCACATGCCCATCACCCCCCATGCCCATCACCCCCCATGCCCATCACCCCACATGCCCATCACCCCCCATGCCCATCACCCCACATGCCCATCACCCCCCATGCCCATCACCCCCCATGCCCATCACCCCACATGCCCATCATCCCATGGCGCACAAGGCTCACCTCTCCACCCGGCACGAGGCGGCCGCGGAAGAGGGGCGAGGAGCCGGGCGGGAAGGAGAAGGACGTGTTGGACGCATGCACGTATATGGCATAGCGCCCCTCGTGGCCCTGGGGGGGGATGCGGGGAGGAGGGGGAGCGGGGAGAAGGGGGGAAGGAGGGGGACGGGAAGCAGGTCGGTGGAGGGGGGAGAGGGGAAGAGGGGGAGGGGAGGAAGTGAAAAGGGACGTTTGGGGGGGAGGGGGAGGGAGAGTGTGTACAGGAGGCTGGGGGGGGAAGGGGGTTCGACACGGTGCGATAGAGGGCGATATGCATGTGATGTGAGTGGCAAGACAGGAAAAGGCGTCCATAAATCCCAAGAGAATACCTAGTACCGCTCATGCAATCGACATGCCACTTTTTGCGTCGCGCATGGGGCATGGCGCATGAGGCATGGGGCATGGCGCATGTGGCATGGGGCATGGCGCATGTGGCATGGGGGGACGCACGATTGGGGAGGCACGAGGGGGGAGGCACGAGGGGGGAGGCACGAGGGGGGAGGCACGAGGGGGGAGGCACGAGGGGGGAGGCACGAGGGGGGAGGCACGAGGGGGGAGGCACGAGGGGGAGGCACGAAGAGGGGGGCCGCAGGGGGGAGTCGCATGAGGCAGCGACGCACCCGGAGGAATTTCTCCCAGAGCGGAGCGAGGGGGATGGGGCCGCGCGTGAGGAAGAGCAGCGCGAGGCTGCCGCGGTGCTCCCGCAGCTGCGACCACACGCCGCCCACCTGCGCCGCCCCCGCCTGCTCCACCTGCTCCGCCTCCTCCACGCTTATATCGAACGGCGACAAAAAGGGGGACAGCACGGAGATGATGAAGGGGAGCTGCGAGAGGAGCAGCAGCGACGCGGCGAAGACCACGATGAGCGACACGAACACGCGCTGCACGTGGCGCGACGGCGATGATTTGGAGTCTCCGCCGGCACCCTGCTGTGCGAGAGGCGCGAGGGGCGACGCGCCATGAGGCGGGCCACGAGGCGACGGGCTGGCGTCAGCGGCGGCGTGCGCGGGAGTGGGGCTGTGCAAGGGAGCAAGGTGGCGCGCTGGCGGCGGTGGTTCGTGTGAGGGCGCGTGCGGGGGCGAGAGGGGGGTCGATAGCGCGATGACGGATGGCGACACAACACTGCCGGAGAAGGGCGGTGTTTGTGTGCCGCGTTGAGCAGGGCTAGCGGGGGGCGCGACTTGGCGAGCGCTGCTCGCCGCCCTCCTCTCCGCCTTCAGCAGCCGCTCCGCTTCCCGCTCGTGCATCGCTGCGCGGAGAATTCTCTATCGCTATTAATAGCACGATTGGTCCACGGGTGCGTGCTCGTGGTTCTAGCGATACATGTTGGAGGCGGTGGAGTCACCTATTTGCGAAATATAATAATTTGGACACATGCTCGCTACATGTAGAAAGACTCTGGAAAGGATCCCATCATTACGTTAGCGACAAAAAAACTAATTACAAACGACGTCGTACTCGTGATTCCACGCCGTACTATCGCGAGTCGTCCTACACCGTACGAGTCGCTAATTCAGTAGCACGTTAGTGTGTGTGACACAAGCTGACGAGCTGTTGTGTGATAGCGTTTCTAACTAGGAAGGAAGCAAGGTATGGTTATTCTGGTTCGGGTTTCTGCAGGAGGGCGGAGGGTTTGCACCCGAACCTCATAGATTCGGTTGTAGGACATGCGACGCGACGGATGCGGTTGGTGGTGAGGGCAGGCTTGGCAGGACTTTTGGGATGGCTGAAAAAAGCTGTTTTTTCAGTACAGATGTTCTGGCTTAGAAGCCCTTCCTAAGAGAGCCCATTTTCCCCGTCTTGTAGATTTTTCATATATTTCCTGCGTAAAGCCCCTCCTCTACAGTCCCCTTTTTGGCGGGAAATTATGCAGCTTGACTGAGGATCAGTTCCGCAGCCAATCAGAGGGCCCAAATCGAACCAGCCCCGGAAAATGCGAGGGAAGGAAATTTCGTTTTGATATTTAAATGTGAAACTATTTCTGATTATTTCTCTTGACTGCGCTTACTTCTCAATCCCGTCGAGCGTTTCTCTGCGCGCTCGACGATGACAGGGAAAAACAAATCATATTTCCTTTCATTAATTCCGCAAACATAAACGATTTTGTTTTTTCTGCCCGTCAGTCATGCAACACTGATGACCGTGGAGAATCTTGCGACAAGAAGTTGAATCAAGCGCATTCCGAACTGGTACGTATTGTCAGAATCCCAACCACTAGACCATTGGGATAAAAGGGCTTGTTTCAGTAGCGGGTCAGTGCGCCCATAACCCCCCAGGCAACCGCGCCTGTAACCCCCCCAAGGATCGATCGGGGATCTCACAGTGTAGCTCTACTGACACGTATATGACATGAAACACCAACCATTAGCGAAGCAAAACCGATTTCCATGCAATTTTACTGAATATGGGAGTATAGGGTCCCGTTTGCCTGTGGTTTGAAGGTTTTTCCACAAAGGCCCGCACCGCGTGTGTTTTTTACTGGGACTCTAAGCAAGAACATTTGTATGGTGTGGTGCAATCCGATGAATTCTGAGACGGTTGGTGGAGATGCGTACACCTTAACGCGTGAAGCCATGTGGAAGCAGACTTGGTACACCTAACCACCGCTATTTTCTTTCAGTCTATTTTCAACCCCACTTGCACAAGTGGGGTATGAACCTTTTCTAAATCTTTGACCGAAGGTTGTGTGGGGCATCATTAAATTTTAGCGAAAGTCTGTTCCAGATCCCCGAAGAGAGTACCGTAGAAGTGGCGCTATGGATTCAGATTCGCATAATGAGTTTAAACTTCGAGCATTAGGCGTCATTCATAGCCCCAGTCTTTTAAGTGTCGAACTGAAATAGTCGAAAATGTGCAGGATAACTTTGAAACGCGAGATTAGTGGGTTGGGTTTCCCTTTGAAAATAGCGGTGGTTAGGTGTACAAGCACTTTCCCCGACTTTCCTTTCATCTAGACTGGGTTCGGTTGGTGCACAAGTTGTCAAATTATAATGTTGTCTAGGCTTTAGTGGGGTAGCCCATATGGGGTACACATTTCTAGGGTTGCATATTTGTATCACTTTCATTCCATAGTCATTTCATTCTCGTTCTAATTTGACAAAATTAGAAGAAAGAGGAGGTTCACTAGCAAGCAGTTGGATACAAATAGCAAACCCTAACTGGGTTGTACTCGCTATGGAGCACCCCACTGCAGGCTAGATAACATAACATTCTGACACACCCCCATAGCCAAAGTGGGGTGTAATCAGCACAGTAAGCAAACCAGAACAAGCTCAGGGTGGATCACAATGTCACCACGCATTCTGAGCACAATTACAAGAAGCAACAGTTTAAAGTTCACAATTATGAGCAAAGCTAGTGGTAGTCACAGCGGGCAAGTGAGGAGGAGGAGGGACTGTGAGAGGAGAGAAGATGGGAGACGACGGCTGAAGCTGCAGATACACGGGCTACAGGAGCGGCTGGCACAGTGGCTACCGGGACAGCGCCCCGGACTACTGGAGTAACTGGCTCACGGGCTACGACGAGCTACAGGAGCAACGGACCCACGGGCGACAGGCGCAGCAGGCTCTCTGAGCTACCAGGACAGCGCCCCGGACTACAGGTGCTGCGGACGACAAGACGGCAGCCTCCTCTCAGCCTCCCCAAGCAGTCCCACACCCCCCACACACACCCCCAGTTTCACCCCTAGCTCCACTCCCAAGGCACCCCCCCTTAAACCCTAAACCCCAGTCTCCCACTCATCCACCCCCCTCAGCGACAGCTGCAGCAGTGGGAGACAAAGGAGGAGGAGCAAAGGGAGGAATGAGGAAGTGACACCCCCATACTCGCCACCCCCTGCTTGCCACCCCCAAACCCTAACACAGACAGGGTGGGATGGCGGGTAGGAAGGGTGGGATGACGGCGCTCGCCCGCCCGCAAGCGGCCCCCGAGGGTCGCCTCGACAGGCGACGGGAAATGGGGTCGGGGCGCAAGGAGGGCGGCGGGGCCACAGGTGTAGGGCGGCGGGGCCGCGAAGGTGGGGCGGCGGGGCCGCGACAGAAGGGCGGCGGGGCCGCGAAGTGGGGCGGCGGGGCCGCGAAATGTGGCAGCGGGGCCGCACCGTAAGGCGGCGGGGCCGCGACGTGAGGCGGCGGGGCCGCGAAGTGGGGCGGCGGGGCCGCGACTGGTCCCCGTCGCCCGTCGCGGCGCCTTCAGAGGGCGACGCGGCGAACGACGGGGCAGAAGCCCGCCGCGCGCCTCGGGGCGCACGGCGGGAAGAAAAAGTAGCAGCGGAAGCGAGGAGGTGGTAACCCACCCACAGGATCGATCCAAGGGGATCGACCTGCTCTGATAGCATGACAAAATTAGAAGAAAGAGGAGGTTCACTAGCAAGCAGTTGGATACAAATAGCAAACCCTAACTGGGTTGTACTCGCTATGGAGCACCCCACTGCAGGCTAGATAACATAACATTCTGACATAATTTCCTCATGGTATCGAGCAGGTTCCCCCGTGGGAACTGTGCCTAGGGCCCACCACATCGAGTTTTTTTTTTCCTGCCCGAAGCACGCTCAGCCCGAGTCGCGCTCCGGGCTCTCACTTCGTCGAGCCGCCCTAGCGGCCCCAAACGCCCTAGCGGCCCCGCATCCCGTCGATTCGGCCCCGCCGCCCTTCGCTGCGGCCCCGCCGCCCTTCGCTGCGGCTCCGCCGCCCTTCGCTGCGGCCCCGCAGCCCTTCACTGCGGCCCCGCCGCCCTTCACTGCGGCCCCGCCGCCCGTCTCAGCGGCCCCGCCGCCTCACATTGCAGCCCCGCCGCCCTTCCCTGCGGCCCCGCCGCCTCACACTGAGGCCCCGCCGCCCTTCGCTGCAGCCCCGCCGCCCGTCTCAGCGGCCCCGCCGCCTCTCTCGCTGCGGCCCCGCTGCGCTTCTCAGCGGCCCCGCCGCCCTTCTCTGCGGCCCCGCCGCCTCTCTCACTGCGGCCCCGCCACCCTTCTCAGTGGCCCCGCCGCCCTTCACGGCGGCCCCGCCGCCCTTCACTTCGGCCCTGCCGCCCCTCCCACTGCGGCCCCGCCACCTACCTTGCGGCCCCGCCGCCCTACTATCGGCCCTACCGCCCTACACCGCCCGCGCCGCCCGAGCCGCCCGAGCCGCCCGAGCCGCCCGAGCCGCCTGAGCCGCTGAGGAGCCGAGCCGCCCGAGCAGCCCGAGCCACCCGACCTGCCCGAGCCGCCCGAGCCGCCTGAGCCGCTGAGGAGCCGAGCCGCCTGAGCCGCCCGACCCGCCCGAGCCGCCCGAGCCGCCCGAGCCGCCTGAGGAGCCGAGCCGCCCGAGCCGCTCGACCCGCCCGAGCCGCCCGAGCCGCCCGAGCCGCCTGAGGAGCCGAACCGCTGGTGCCGCGGAGCCGCAGTTGCTGCTGAGCCGTCCGAGCAGCCGTGTTGCCGTGTTGCTGTGCTACTGAGCTGCCCGAACTGCCCTGTCTGGTGAGAGCAGCGCTTCTGTCACTGCACTGCCCCTGTCCTACAGCTGGTCCTGCTAGTCTACTGTTGTCATGGCTACCCCTAGTGTCCTCGCGTTTGACGCTGAGGGTCGAGCCATTGACTTTGAGGTCTGGGTCGACGACCTGCAGCTGTTCTTACAGTGCGATAGGGCAGACGGTCTCTCTCTCTTTGACCTCACCTCTGGCGCCTCTCCTGCCCCTGCTGCTGATGCTGACCCCACTGTTCGCTCCCAGTGGGCCACGCGCGATGATGCTGCACGTCTTGCTGTGCGTCGCCACCTGCCTACCACTGAGCGCGCGCACTTTAGTCAGTACAAGAGTGCTCAGACCTTGTACGACGCTGTAGTTGCGCGCTACTCTTCCCCTGCCACTGCTGCACTGAGCCGCCTCATGCTACCGTACCTCTTCCTTGACCTTGCTGCCTTTCCCACAGTCGCTGACCTCATTACGCACCTCCGCACTACTGACACTCGCTACCGCGCCGCGCTTCCTGCTGAGTTCTGCGCCAAGAACCCCCCCCCCATGTACATCACTCTCTATTATATAGTCACCCGCCTCCCTGACTCCCTTCGTGTAGTCAGGGACCACTTCCTCTCAGTCTGTCCCACCACTCTCACTGTTGACCTCTTAGAGAAGGCCCTCCTAGCAGCGGAGAAGAGCATAGTCGCAGTAGGAGCCTCTCGTGGTGACCCTCGCACCCCCATCTTTGAGGGGTGTTCTCCTTCCCCCCTTTTGCCCTCTGTCGCCTCTGCCGCTGCGGCCGACCTCGTTG